TTCTCTCCCTGCGACATGCTCATGAAGCAAAACTTTCTAATGTCCATACCTTGGATCCTCCCTGGTGACGGGCGGGTGGTGGTTTTCTCCTGGCGTCGGAGGTTTAATACCGTGTAACCTTCATCCTGCATCTTCCAGGCTTGCCCAGAAAACGACGAGAAGAGAAGAAACAAATGACCCTCCACAGACTCACCCTGGCTTACTGAGGGCTCAAGGCTGCAGAGGAAGCGCTGGCCCCACCTCAAGCTGTCAAACCACAGGGTCGACTCAGATGCAAAAGGCCGGCCAACCTGCTAGCGAGCTGCAGGGCCTGGCACTGTGAAAGGGCAAGAGGATTAGAGCGTGGGTCAGAACATAACGCTCAGTGGAGGAGCATGTAAAGGGAGCAATCACAGGGCAAAACGGAACCTCCTGCCCTGTAATAAGTCACAGGGAAGTTGCAAGCTGCAGGCAGAACCGAGAGCAGACAAGGCACTGGGGGGCTATTCTTGTGTCTGTCCCCACGCCCTGCTGCGCCTCTCAGCGATAAGAAACACATCTCTAAACATGCAATAAACGACGTCACGGGCCCAGTCCCCTGGTGGTGGAAATTGGTATAGCTCTTCTGAAGTCAACAAAGCTTCACTGATTCACACCAGCTGGGATCTGGCCCCATTGAGTCCAATGGAGCTATGGCCCATTGACAACAGCTGGGGATCTGGCCCCCCCAAAAATGTTGGTTAGAAAACACAGTGATGAACGTGATGGTGTTAGACCCAGATCTTGCAAACATGGAAGCATTTGCTTAGCACAGGTGAGTTGTTTGCCGTGACTGCTTGGACTGTGAGCTCTTCGGGGCTGTCTTCTACTGATGTTTCTTTGGACAGCACCCAACACAATGGAGCCATATTATGACTGGGCCTTGGGCCTGGTATTATGGGCCTGGTATAACTGTGCTGCCATAATGCAAATAAAACAGAGCCAAATGGGAGTCAGTAGGGCTAGTTCTGTGTGTAACGTTAGCCACGTGCATAAACATTTGCAGGACTGGGGCCTCTTAAGGAACGTTGCATTTGCTGCAATTGCGCAGTGGATTTGAAAAGATCGGTACGATTCCCGGACACGACCTATCGTGCCAAAGTTCATTTTGGGTTTTGGATGGGGAAGACTTTGCTAAATGTCTGATCTATCTTTTGTGTGGTGTATTAGTCACCTCACCGCTGGCTACGTGTATTGGGTGAGATTTTTCAAAGTTGCCTAGAATGTGTTTAAAACCCCTGATGGGTTTGAATATTGCAACCATAATGTTCAGATAATGCTTCCATGCAGGGCTGTATCTGGGGCGAGTAGGGCGGCCGCCCAGGACACAAAGCTGCAAGGATGGAAAATTGGGGTGGAAAAATGGAAGGGGGTGCAAATATGCTTGCTCGCCCTGGGTGCTAAAATGTTACAGCTCTGCTTCTGTGTTGGTCAGGACTGAGGGGCACCGGCAGAGCTGTGTGTGCAAGAGAAGCCTAGGGCTGGGGTAGCAGGAGACTGTGGGTTACAATGGAGGGGCTCGCTGACAGAGCTGGGCCCTTGAAATCAAGGAATTGAATGGTTAAGGACCCTGCCATCCTAGCTTCCCCACATAACAGATGTTGCTGTTACAAAGTACAGAGAAATGCATATTGCATCACAACACCCTTAACTCTGACCCCTGGATTTGCATTTTTTCCCCATGGATTTTGGTGATCTTTTTCGGTATCTTGTATTTATTCCAATTTAAAGGAAAATATAAAAACTTGGCTAGACGGGCTCTAGGGTCCCTGCCCCAGAGAGCTGACAATCTAAGAGACAACAGATAGATACAGGTCGACGGGGGAGCGCAAGGAAGCAGTGACACAATAGTAGTCAGCACGCTCGGCCGTGGTCGCAGCAGACTGACCATTGTCAAGTTTGCTGCGGGTATCGTGGCACAAGAGAGTTTGGAGGAGAGACTTGAAGGTGGATAATGAGTTCGTTTTGCAGATTTTTACAGGGCGCTCTTCTAGGGCTTCGTTTGTTAAAAGAAGAGGGGCTGGGTGCTGAAGCAGCTTGTTAGGCAAAAAGATTCTTTTCCCCGAGAATCAGGTAAGCACAGACAGTCCTGAAGGGGGGTTATTCACGGTACCGGGAAGACTGACAAGCAGCTTCAAAAACATGATGCCATAGTGGCCAGTTATATAATTCTTACAAATTTATTTGCATTTATTTGTACATACAGAGACAGACATTGTTACAAGTCCAGAGAGAAACCTGAACAAAGATATAAAAATAAGAACAGTACGTACATATAGAGGTCATTCTAATTGAATTAAGTGTCTATGGCTACCTTGCGGGGGAAGGAGGCAAGGTGGTGGGGGTAAGGATGAGTGCTTGCAGATATCCAGTGGGCTGTGAAGGGAGGGTTTATTCTGTTCTAAGACCTGAGATACTGGGCGGGCATTGACCATATAAGCTTATGAATTGTTTACAGTTGTCAGTGCCTTTTGAGCCACTGAAATATTCCTGCTTGTTTTGCGGTTTTTGTTTTAGCTGTTAGTTTCTGACAATACACAATAATTTAGCTATGTCCTTGCTTCTCAGCTGCTTCTGTCTTTTCTGCTGGCTAAATTCTAAAGGGGAAGAACCCACGTGCGTTCTCATCCTGATCTATAATAGATTCTAGATCTCTCAGAGATAGATTAATGGCTTAAGCCCTGCAGCGGGAGAGTTAATGTCCTGTACAAAGCCAATGGTAATCCGATAACGATAACATAATGGAGATCAATTGTTCTCCATGACCACTGAACGTAGGAGAAGAAGTTCACACACACACTCTGCCCTCGCTGAGATCCAGGGTTTGGTGCCGGGCACCGCACAGAGACAGAGCGAGAGGGAGTCCCTGCCCACAAGAGTTCACATTCAGAGGCAGCACAGTCAGCTGGTGGCAGATCCTCTCCGCCTGCTACCTCCGGCCTGTTCTTACAAAGGGAATTTCTACACCCGTTGAGATCCCCAAAGCTCAGAAACCTGCCAACAGATCTAGCTAATTTCCACTGCCATATAATCCTCCTCCTGTGCTGTTTCCCCATCTCACTTACCCCACCTTCGGCTACCGCTACCCCCTGAAATGTACACAGCCACTCCAAGGGCAAATGACAGGGCGATTTATTGGCACTTGCCCCCTAAATGAAGATTGGGACTGCATCATCTCCTAGTCACTTGTAACTGTGACCTTTGTGTCTGTTTGCAAATTTTGTTAATGCCGACCCCATGCTTTTAAAAGTAACCAGTCAGGCCCCGCAAAATCACAAGGATATTGTAAAAAAATCTGGCTTTTTTTTGAGAAAACAAACAAAAAAAAATCATGGGTTCTTTTTCTGATTTCTGAACCTCTAGGGGTCAGATTTTTAAGTTTTTTCTCCATAACTGTGAAAGGTAAAAACTTACTATTTAAAAAAAAAAAAAAACACCTGAGCTGCTCACATGATTCCAGGAGGTGGGGCTTTTCAGAAAAACACCGACTATCTTGAGATTCACGATGAAATCAGGAGAGTGGGCAGCACTGACCTGTTAGGGGAGAATGTTAAAGTTGGGATTGTTCTGCAATCCAGAGGCTGTGATCGTGAGCAGCGAATGATTATATGGCAGTGGCTTATTGGCTCTGTCCCTTCATTGTTCGTTCTGAGACATTCTACAGTGGCAAGGGTTGAACTTCCTTTACAAAAGTGTTAAGATGGTTTTTGGGGTATCAGCAGGATTCCCACTGCACCCCACTTTCACCTTTGGCTTATTGAATCTGGCATTTTATTACTCATTTAAATTATCTAGTCATTTTATTATTGAAGTTGTGATCTTGCAAACAGTTAAGCACACACTTAGTGATTAGCATGTGTGTAGCTGTTTGCATGGTCTGAATCTTGAACTGTAAATGCTATGGGGCAGGGACTGTCTCTCCCTGTGTGTCTGTGCAGCGCCTGACACAATGGGGCCCTGATAGTGTTGCCAACCGTCGAGGATTGGCCTGGAGTCTCCCGGAATCAGCATTGATCTCCTGGTGACTATTGAAAGCAATGCAGGATTTTAATAGGATATTTTAAGAAAATGACATTACGTCACATTGGGGGGGGGGGGGGGGGGGAATCCCCCAGGATATTTTCAGTCAGAGTTGGCAACCCTAGGCCCTGATCTCAGCTGGGGCAGGGACTGTCTCTCGCTGTGTGTCTGTGCAGCGCCCGGCACAACGGGGCCCTGATTTCAGCTGTGGCAGGGACTCTCTCTCTCTCTGTGTCTGTGCAGCGCCTGGCACTAGGGCCAACGAGAGAGGGAGGGAAGCCGGTACAAATTACCGGGGCCCGGCGGTCCGGAAGGGGGCCCAGGACCTGGCTTCCCTGGCTTCTCCCTGCTCTCGTCGGCCCTGTTTAGCCGGTCCACCCTTGCTGGGGGCCCCGAAAACTTTCGGGCCCGGCTTCCCCCTCTCCTCTCGTCAGCCCCGTTTAGCCGATCCGCCCTTGCTGGGGGGCCCGAAAAAATTTTTTCACCGGGGCCCGAACCCGCTCTCGGCGGCCCGGCAGCCAGCACAACGGGACCCTGGTCTCAGGGCCTCTATCCCACTTCACAATATTACCAGTAAATAAATACAAAGCTGGAAAGCAACACAATGTTTTCACAAGTTTATTTCCCCATAGAAGTGACCGTGCTTCGCATCCAGCCAGGACACACAGACGGGGTCTGCAACAAGGAAAAGGCGCTGCAGCCTGTAAAGGGTTAACTGGTCACATGGCTAGTTGGGGCAGCATATAAAAGGAAGCTGGTTAAAGGGGAGCGAAGTGGGGGTGGAAGTGGAGGTTCCCTGGGAATGGGGGCAGGGAGACAGGAAGGAATCGTGAAGGGAGGTTCTGAGACTTAGCATTTGGGGGGAGGGGTTTAGCCTGGGGTGGGGAAGGGGCTCCAGGCTGGGAGGGTTGGTCCCTACCTGCTCCCAGGCCCATTCCAGCCTCCTTGGTCCCACTTTGCCCCCCACCCCCAAGCTGTGCGCCCGTTGTGCAAGGTTGCAATATTTCCATTGCGGGGGCACTAGCTCCCCGGCTTTGCCAGCCCTGGGGGGAGGGGTGTGTCCTCTTTATTCCTGGGGGGCTGGAGTGGGGAAAACCTCTGGCCATTGTGGCCCAGCGGGTGGATTTGCTTTTCTTTAGTGGACAATAAAACCATTGACGTCAAAGGGGCAGATTTCCATCAGGTCGGGGTCTGGCCCCCTTGGCTCCAGGGGAGCTATGGCTGATTCACGCCAGCAGGGGCTCTGGCCCCTGATTCTGACATGACATTTATAAGTAAAGCTGAAAATACTGTAGATGTTTCAGACACTGAAGGCCTTTTCCTGTCCCGATCAGTCATGCCGCAGTCTATAGCTGGAAAGCTTCTTTCTGGCAGAGCCATTTTAATTCACTGCTGCAGACTTCAAATTCAATCTTTGTCTTTTTTAACGCTCCACAGTCGCTCTTTGCACCCTGACTTAATCCTGGGACCCTGTGGAATGAAGCAGAAAGTCCCTGTCAGTTTGTTTCTGTTGATTAAAGAGCCTGTAGCAGCTCTTCCTCGTGGGGTGTCAGGTTGTGGTTCCTTCTTTCATCTCTGTATTTCCCCCCACAGCCCCATTGTGGGAAATGGGTTGGTCAGTTGGGTCCTGGAGAACCCGTGTCCATGTTACCAAACCTTAAGCAACACGACCCCATTACGCCCGTCTTGGTGCCCTCCCGGGGACTCAGCTCTGCAGCTCACCCCGTGTAGCTCGGTGTCTAAGAGAGACAATCTGGTCCTGAAAGTGAAGTTACAGCCCTGCTGCTCGAGCCCTGACCACTTCAGTTAACAACCCAGGGCCTGTCTACACAGGAACTGAAACGGAAATAAGGATATTCGTTGTCATTCACACCTTGCTGCAAGTCTGCCTGGGGGCCCTTTTATTGAGGACTAAGAAGGCCCGCCTTGAATTTAGCTTAAATCAGTAAATTACTGCTCTGTTTTTGAGTCCTTTCAGTTCTAGTTACCAGGCAAAGAAGCCCAAAGGAACATTGTTATCGTAATTCCTGTGTTAATTCACAAATGAGGCTGTTGCCTGCTTAGACGTGCTTTATTAGTGTATCTGCGAACTCAGCGATACGGCTTATTATGAGGAGCAGGCCAAAATTTTTCCAAGGGACCATTTCCCCATTGGATAAAGCTGCTTGGACTGAATTGAAATTTCCTGTGAGAATGTATTGATTTCATTGAGATTCTTGATATTTTGCTAAGGTTGAAATGTTTTGCTTTCTATTTTTCTTTTCATTTTGTTTTGACTTTAATTTTACACTAGCATTACCACCCACAATCTATATCGTAAGGCTCCAGGATTCTCTGTTTTTACACTGAAGTCTAGGATGTCTGTAGAGTCACTTTGCAGTGATGGAAACAGCTACGTGCATGGCTGTGAGCTCTTTTTGGTCAGAATGTCGCCCAGTTCAACCCTCGCTAGGGTTTGTTTGTGGCTACAGTCCAATTGTTCAGTTCTCAGCGATTATGACTTTACAAATTACACCCTGGGACAGCAAGGCATGTGTCTATGTCCTGCCAAGAGTCCTAGGCCATTGTGATATCAGAGGTGACGACGGCCAATCACCATGATTATTCTACAGCTAATTTGAATGCAACTGTGCCATTGGTTGCATGAGGGAAAGGGCACAGATGCTGGATTACTTGGCCCAATTGCCTCTGCCGTGCGACTACTACTGGTATAATATAAAATAAGCGTTGAAAGGGTGTGGCAATTGGGCCAAGTAATCCAGCATCTATGCCCTTTCCCTCATGCAGCCAATGGCACAGTATCTGTGCAACATTCCTGGGTAGCTGGCAGGATGTAAGCCGGGCTAGAATGTATGGGAGTCTAACTTTGTGTTGAGGCTGTTTTCCTGTTTTAAATTGATCGATTAGCATCCACTAGGCATGTATTTGAATTGCTTCTGCAATGCAACATTCCGGGGTGAGGTGCAGCTATTCCACTCATGCCCTATGTGTCTGAAAAAGCACAAGTCACTTGCGGGAGCTAAAGGACACAGCTAGGTTAGTTTAAAGTCCGTAGCAGACTCCTAATACCTGTCATGCAGCCACTAGAGTCACACTGTAAGCATAGTGACTGCGAGGCTTTTGTACCCTGAATGGGTACAGATTGCAAGCAAGAGCTCCCAATACCTATGGGGAGCGTTACCCCTGCACCACCTCTTAGGAAGATGCAGCAAGCTCTCTCCTCTTCGGCTGGCTAGCTCGGCCTCCTTCATTGTGGCTACAGCCCTGAGGGGTGCTGGCGGGAGCAGTGGTACTCGGGAACAGGAGAGCCGTTATGCCTGGCTTCTGTGCAGGGGACCACAAGGGGCAGAAGAGGAAGGTTGGTTGGTTGTTTCTTCTCTGTCCCTTCCCTTGTGCATCTGTCAAACCTTTAGTCCAAAGAGCAACAGGTGAGTTCTGCAAATTGTGTGCACACCCACTGGGCACCCCAGAGCCTTTATTTCCCTGTGTAAAGGGGTGTTTGCACATGGAGATTGAGGAACACTCGTTAGAGAGCAGCAGAACTGCATGCACAGGTACCATTGCAGGTAAATATGGACGTGCAAATAGTGTCTTTTTGAATTTGGGCTCCCCCTGCTGGCGGCTCACCAGATTGCTGTGAAGGATCCAGGCCCTGAATCCCCCACTGTGCTTTAGGCTTCCCTGGGTCTCAGCAAGCCGTAGGTGCCGACTCTGTGGGTGCTCGGGCTGGAGCAAACCCACCCTCAGTCTGCCACCAGTTCTTGGAAACGGAGCCCCTCAGCCCCCCCGCCCTAGCAACCTGCAACGAGCGCGAGTAGTTTAAACACACCCTCAGCCAGTATTGCACCAACAGTCTGAGCCTCCAGTCCCGGGTGACTGTTTAACATTCTCAGGGGACACGGGGCAGTTGTAGGGTTGCCAAGTCTCCCGAACTGGACGCCATTTTGCGGCAACCGCGTCCCCATTTGCGTCAATGGCGTACGGTCCGGGAGAGTTGGCAACCCTAGGCAGTTGTGAAGTGTGAAATGCACAGACAGGCTTTGCACAGTATTTGAACGGCACAAGTCTGCTTCAGACAAAGCACAAGCGAGAACAGATCATTTAGAAAACAACCAGCACGCCACGCCCTTCACTAGCTCCCCCTTCCCTTGGGAATCCTTGCGGGGTCTGTGCTATGGAAGGTGGGGGTCCCTCTGCCCCATCAGACTCCTATATGCAGCTGCTCTCAGCTTGAGCTGATAGAAATCATAGAGCTGGAAGGGACTTGGCGAATGAGAGGTCAGCTCCTGTCCTTTCATAACCTTCCAGACCCTCTGTCTTATCAGCTTAATATATAGGAATGTGATTCCAACCCCTCCCCAACAAGCTACCTCATTGCTGGGCAACCTCTCCCCTGCTAAACTAGTTCCTCTGGGCAGAGTCCAGTCTTTTGTCTAGAGCAAGTATATTTCCATGGTCATGCTAGTCCTTTGCCACCCCCCATGCCTTGGATTTCCAGTTCAACCTGGAGGCGCAAACACAAAAAGATAATTACCCCCCCTCCATTTAAAATGCAGTTTGCAGCTTGGTAATGATACCGGGCGAGTTCACAATCTTGCTCAAAGTCCTAAATTGGACAGACGGATTCCACAAAGCATCACTGGTGCAAGACTTAAGTAAGCCATGGTTTGAGGAGTGGGCATCTAAAGCAGGCTTAGATTATCCCGACAGCTGAGTCACATGTGAAATCTGTTGCAGTGACCTACATTGTGTGTCTCAACTGCTACGAGTCCCAGAGGAGCTGGTGTGGGACATTCTGCATGGTCTGAACCAGCAAATTACATGGCAGGGCATTTTCTAAGCATGAAATAGTAAAACTCAAGAGACACTCACAGTTCTTCGTGGACAGGGGCACCGTCCAGCCAGGTCCACTTCCTCTGTGTAGAGTTAAATGTTAATCCAATCCAAACAGCATGGTCAGCTGGTAGGACAGGCTGCAGGTCATTCTGCAAAAGAAGTGTCTGAGTAAATGTATTGCTCTAGAAGTCTTTTATTTCTGCCCCAGTGTTAGCAGCACATGGAATTAGACAGACCCCGAGATGCTGCAGTGCAGAAAAACCTAATGGCAATAAACCGGCACAACAGGCTGTGCTGGACAAAGTCGCTCGACTTCTCTGGGCCTCAGTTTCCCCTTTGTGAAATGGGGATAATTAGCCCATGTTTGACCGTCTGGTCTATTTGGATTGTCAACACTTTGGCTCAAGGACCTTGTCTCCCGACGGGCACAGCCAGTTCTCCACAGAATGAGGCCCCCATCCTCCCTGGGCCCACTAGTTGTGCTCCCTGAATGGAAATAGATAATGATGATGATGATGGTGACATTATTATTCATAATAGGTCTAGAATCGTAGCTCTCTGAGCTGCTGACCTGTAAAGAAAATATCTGTAACTCACTGCTGGGGTTTGAACCACATTCTTACCAGTTACCTTTTCATGGAGGTGCCCGGCAGGTCCTTAGATAATTATTATTTGTGCTCGGGTAGAATTTAGGAACACAGGAATGGCCAGACGGGATCAGACCCAGGGTCCATCTAGCCCAGTGCCCTGTCTCCCACAATGGCCAGCACTGGCTGTTTCAGAGGAAGGCGTAAGAACCCTGCAGTAGCAGACGTAGGATGATCTCACCCCACATTGGTTCCCATCCTGATCTCTAGTAGATCGATTCTAGGTCTCTAACAGATCAATGGCTTAAGCCCTGCAGCGGGAGGTTTACTGTCCTGTACAAAGCTCTTCCAGCATTAACTGAGATCTCTGGATAGTCATTATCCACATTAACTTTTAATCTCTTTTTGACTTTGAGCCCCAATCAATTATCTGGGTCCCATTGTGCTAGGTCAGAGGTGGACAAACTTTTTGGCCCGAGGGCCACATCGGGGGTACGAAACAGTATGGAGGGCCGGGTAGGGAAGGCTGTGCCCCCAAACAGCCTGCCCCGCCCCCATCCACCCCCTTCCACTTCCCGCCCCCTGACTGCCCCCCTCAGAACCACCGACCCATCAAACCCCCCCGCTCCTTGTCCCCTACCCCCTCCCCTGGGCCCCCACCCCCTATCCACCCCCCCCTCCCTGTCCCCTAACCGCCCCCCTGGGACCTCTCCCCATTCACCCCCCCCCTCACAGCCCCTTTCAGAATGTAGCCCTGCGAGCAGGGGCTGGAGGACTCAGGAGGACACAGGGCAGCCACACAGCCGGAGAGAAGCGGCTGTTTCACCTTCAAAGCGCCACTTCTCTCCGGCTGGCTGCGTGGCTGCCCTGTGTCCTCCTGAGCCCTCCAGCCGCGTTCCCCGCACTCCTGCCACCCGCACCTCCCACCTGCTCCCCTGCCTCTGCAGTGCAGCCCCTACCCCCAGCGGGGGGTGCGCCAGTGCTGAGCTGCCCGAGTGCCCAGCCCTGGGGCCCCCTGTTGTTGGGGGGCGGCCGTGCCAGGGCACCCTGAGCCGCGCCGCCCAGACGGAGCCAGCCAAGCCACTGCGCTGCCGGCATGGTGAGCTGGGGCTGCGGGGGAGGGGAGACAGCAGGGGAGGGGCCAGGGGCTCCGGGGCCAGGGGCCGGGCAGGACGGTCCCGCAGGCCAGATGTGGCCCGCGGGCGGTAGTTTGCCCACCCCTGTGCTAGGTTATGCAGTGGTTCTCAAACTGTGGGTCAGGCGGGACCCCAAAGTGGTTTGCGACCCCATTTAAATGGGGTTGCCAGGGCCAGCTTTAGATTTGCTGTGGCCTGAGGGCTTCAGCCCGGGGCAGCGGTGCTCGGGCTCTGGCCCTTCCTATCTGCCCGGAGCAGGGGGACTTGGGCTCCAACTCCATCCCCACTCCCCCGCCCGGGGGCATGTAGTAATTTTCGTTGTCAGAAGGGGGTCGCGGTGCAATGAAGTTTGAGAACCGCTGTATAGAGACACGTAACAAAGAGAACAGAGACATGATGAATGGCTCTCTCTGTGCCCCGACATAAAATGTATGTTACCATCTGTTCCGGATCCTGGATCACCAGCATTTGAGATCCCTTCCTTGAACAGTCGTCACGGCTCTTGCTCCAGGTGTCAGCCTCGTTCGACAGCCAGTAGCACTTGTCCCTGTGCAGCACCCAGTCCCTGGGGCAGAGTTTGCACCCAGAGCCACCTGCAGGGGGCAGTGGGAAGAGGTGGAGATCATTAATGCTTCTGCAGTTTCTGAACACTGGGGCATTCTTTCGCTCCAGTCAACTGTGGAGTCAGACAAATCTCCCAGAGCTGGTCCCTGCAGCCGTTCCTGTGGGCTGGCCTGTGCTCCCCTCCTGGCTAACCCACCCTCCTCCCAATTCCCTGAGCTGAAATGGGGATGTCTCAGAACGAAGGGCCCAGCACAGCTGCAGCAGGGGAGCTTCCATTATCCTCAGCGACCGGTTGCTGCTGGATGGGATGGAGGAAGTGCGGGGAAGCCACCTCCCCTGTTGACCCGACATGGGTCCTCCAGAGGAACTGAACCCCAACCCTTCAGCACTAGGAGCACACGCTACTTGAGCTAAAGTAGGTCTGGAAGTACTGGGGTTACAGTGGACTCCAAACTCTTAGGGTGCCGGTAGCGCGCCCGATGTATCGCATCTCAGAGGCAAGCACTGTAGGGGGTAGCCCGGGTGGGTGCCAATAACCACTCAGGCACATGGCTCAGGGAAAGGGTTTCTGACTAGGGCTGGTAGGAAGGGGAGAGGTTGCAGGTCGCCTTGATGCAGAGGTTTAAACAGTGACAGTCATAGGCGCTGACCCTGTGAGTGCTCCAGGGCAAAAGCAGTCACAGCTGTCCGAGGAACTCGGGGGAGGGGGCATCGCAGGGGTGGGAAGAGGCGGAGTGTGGGCGGGGCCTTTGGGGAAGAGGAGGAGTGGAGTGGAAAGAGGTGGAGTAGGGGTGGGGCCTCAGGGGAAGAAGTGGAGTGGGGGCAGGACCTCAGGGAAGAGCTGGGGTGGCACATCCACCCGGAAAAATTAGAGTCAGTCTAACGCCGATAGACCCTGGTTGTCGGTGGGCAGGATTGAACCGGGGATCTCTGAAGCTTAGTACATGAACCTCTACCGCATGAGCTAAAACCCAACTGGCTCCTAGCTAAGGCTGTCGAGCAGACTCATTTGATCTTTCACTCGCTCTAAGTGGTCTCGGTGGCACTAGATGGGACAGACCACCACACCCAGGAGGTCTGTGAGTTACATCAGCACCTGTGGTTACAATTCAAAGGGAGCAATAGCAGACCCTGGTTGGGTCCCTGGGGCCGTCCAGTTCAGAGGCAGGGTCTTCATCCCCAGTGCCTGGGCTGTCCGCTCCGCTCCAGTCTCTACTCCAGCAAACCACCATTTGCGGCTTCCCAAGCCAGACTGATGTAGCGTCTCTCACTGAAGCCCCTTTGCACCAGTTCCCTGCCCAGCCGCCGCAGCTCCCCAATAAGCCCCACACAAACTTCCACCCACCCGGCCATCACAACTTGTTCCACATGTGGCTCAGCCCGCGGTTCCTGGTGCTTCTCTCCTGCTGCCACTTTTCACACAGAACCTGGCCACTTCCTGGGTCAGAGCCTTTCCCCTTCCCTGGGCAGGGATAGGAGCAGTGCAATATGAGGGATGATATATAGTCCCTGCTTGGCCAAGAGGAAGGGGACATACAGAGGTGAAAGGGCTGATGGGAGTTGTAGTCTCCAGCTTTGCAGCTCCATCACACTGCCCTCCCCTGGTAGCAGGAGTTGACTCTTTTATGGACCAACCCCTAGAGACCTTGCCATAACAACAGGCACAAAACCTGCAGCCACATCTCTACTGCTAGGGTGATCAACACCCCCACAGCTCACTTGTCAAGATCCAGGAGTCCTGCACAGGCCTATCACAACATGTGCTGTGTCTCCTCCAGTGCACTACACGCCCCGTTAAAAAGAATGGGTGAAACCACACAATCACTACGCTCTCAAATGCACTCACACAGGAAAGTGATAAAAGACAAAAACACATCACCTGTTGGTGAACGCTTTTCACCGAGCGAGTGCTCTGTATCTGCCCTCTCTGTCCTCGTCCTCAAAGGAAACCTGCACGACACCTTCAAAAGCCGAGCCTGGGAGCTTAAATTTAAAACCTGGCTCGATACCAAAAATCATGGTCTTAATAAAGACACTGGATTTATGGTTTATTACAAGCAGCTGTAACTCTTTTTTGTCCTGTGACTGCAGAGGTGTTAACCGACCACTTCACCTTGAACGGTGTCTTACAATATGTGTTTAGTTGTGCTAAACAATCTGTTCTGCCTGGCATTTAGCTGTGACACTCTGGGGAGGTCTATGCTGCAATAAAACACCCACAGCTGACCCATGCTGGCTGACTTGAGCCCGGATGTCTACACTGTAATTTTATAGCCCCACAGCCTGAGCCGCGCGTGCTCAAGTCAGCTAACATGGGCCAGCCCCGGGTGTTTTATTGCACTGTCGACATACTCCCAAGAGTCCTTTCCCAGCCCTGAGGAAGAGCTCGGTGTAGCCCAAAAGCTTGTCTCTTTCACCAACAGAAGTTGGTCCAATAAAAGATATCACCTCCCGCACCTTGTCTCTCCAGCCACTGGACAGACGCGCATAGTTTACATTGAGCCATTGAGTTATACCAGCACAGTGGATGTAGATGGGAGAGGAAAACATCCCCCACGCAGTACAGCGGTGAGTGGGCCAGACAGCAGTCCCTTAGATGCAGGTGTGAAGTGGGTCACAGGGAACTGAAGTTACCTGCTGAGCTTATCTGGGTCTGATCACACAGACTCTGCTTCATATTAGAAAAAAAGTCCTCCAGGCCGGCGTTGCATTTTCTTCCAGTTCCGGTTCTCTGAGCAACACCGTCGCTCTTCAAGGCTGGTCCCTCCTCCGCTTTATTAGAGACGCCCTGAAAAACTTCAGAACAGCATTGGTGGGAAGGATTGTTACTGCTTATTGCTTAGGACAGACAGAGTGTGGGATGTGATAGATCAGTGACTCTGGCCTGGTCTGCAGATAGACTTGCACTGAACTAACTAAAGGCTCCAGTTAAAACTGATGTAGTTATTTCAGTTCATATCTCTGCAGGGACTCTCTTATTTCAAAATCGAAGTGGCGAAAGTCCATTAAGCTCCATTCAAATTGGTTCCAATATTAACTAAAAAGAACAGGAGTTCTTGTGGCACCTTAGAGACTAACAAATTTATTTGAGCATAAGCTTTCGTGGGCTAAAACCCACTTCATCAGATGCATAGAATGGAACATATAGT